AAAAGCCCTCCTCTCTCAACTGGTAGATATTTATAACCAGACCAGAGGTTGTTCAAAGACATCATGATGAGCTGAAAGAATAAACTCTAACTGCAGACTGTAGTAAAACTAAATATGATCCCAGAGGTCATGGGTTAATCGTCAGAACTGAAGAGTGAGTCCCGTCCACAGCAACCATCTCACATTCTTTTTTTTTTTTTTAATTGTAGGCTAATTACTTTAAAATATTGTGGTGGGTTTTGCCATACATTGACATGAATCAGCCATGGGTGTACATGTGTTCCCCATCCTGAACGCCCCTCCCACACATCTCACATTCTTGTCCCACTTCCTCCAGTGAGGGGAACTCCCAAGACAGTTTATTCTACTTTCAGATGACTATTAACAAGGTCTCTTTCTGTTTCACTACAATCTTATAACCTTCACCCTCTGGTCCTGGTGCCACTTGCTTGCAGCCACATACAGTAATTCTGAACAAGCGACTCTCAATTCTGGTCACACACCAAGATCAATTGTTGTTCAGTCACTAAATCACGTCTAACTCTTTGTGACCCTATGGACTGCAGTCTGCCAGGCTTCCCTGTCCTTCACCATCTGCCAGAGTATGCTCAAACTCATCAAACTCATGTCCATGGAGTTGGCGATGTCATCCAACCATCTCAACTGGGTGGGGGGGGGGGTCTTAACAAATCTAAAGCCCAGGCTGCACTGCCAACTGCCAAAATACAGAATCAGTGAGTGGGACCCAAGCATTAGTATTTAAAAAACTCTCCAGGTGATTCCAACATGTAATCAAGGTTGAGGGGTACCACTTTAAGCTCTCTTCAACACTACACTCTAAATAAAGACACCCTGACCTGAAATGAATCTTCTCTTCCTTAGACTGTGACTTTTTTATTTTTTTGAAAAATTTTTTAAAATTTTTATTTATTTCTTTTTTTTTCTGTTTATTTTTATTAGTTGGAGGCTAATTAGTATACTAACGCATATATATGGAATTTAGAAAGATGGTAACGATAACCCTACATGCAAAACAGAAAAAGAGACACATGTACAGAACAGACTTTTGAACTCTGTAGACTGTGACTTTTAACCATCTCTTTAGGGCAGACACTGTGAGGCAACTGCCAGTCATTACTAAACCCTGGAGAAGAGTGGTATCTGAAACCACCTGGGAAGGCTTGGTGGCCCAAAGGCCATGGTGGGCTTGAATTGGTTCCTTTTCATGGTTTTAAAAGTACATGTGTGTGCGCTAAGATGCTTCAGTCATGTCTGACTCTTTGAGACCCTATGGACTGTAGCCCAACAGGCTCCTCTGTCCATGGGATTCTCCAGGCAAGAATAGTGGAGTGGGCTGCTATGCCCTCCTCCAGGGAATCTTCCCAACCCAGGGATCGAACCCGCCTCTCTTAAGTCTCCTGCTTTGGCAGGTGGGTTCTTTACCACTAGCACCACGTGGAAAGCCCTTTAAAAGTATAACAGATAGATAAATTGGAATTCATCAATATTAAAAATTTTTGTGCTTTCAAGGACACTAACAAGAAAATGAAAACACAACCACAGAGTGGGAGAACCACAAGCCCAGTAATTGTACTCTTGGGTGTTTATTTCAGAGAAAAGAGAACTTTGTTCATATAAGAAATTGTACATGAGTGTTCAGAGCAGCTTCATATGTAATAGTCTCAAACAGAAAAAACCCAGAGTCTTTCACTGAGTCTGTGGTTAAATAAATTTTTGTATAACCGTGCCATGGAACAGTACTCAGCAATAAAATAGAATGAGCTACTGATATAGATATCTGGATGAATCTTCAGATGATTATGCTGAAAAATTATGCTGTGAAAAGAGTCGATCCCCAAAGGTTACATACTGTATTATTCCATTTACATGCCATTCTCAAAGTGACAAATTTAGAGAAATGGAGAATACATTTGTGGTTTCAAGGTGTTAATGAGGTGAGTGAGCACTAAGTAGGTATGGTTATAAAAAGGCAATAAGGACACGTGTGGGGATGGAAATGTTCTGTTTGTTAATTTAACTGGGTCAGTGTTAATATCCTGATACTATACCACAGTTTTGGAAGACGTCACCAATGAGCGAAACTAGATAAAGGGTAAATGGGAATTCTCGCATTATTTCTTAAAACTTGTAGATTCAAAATTGTGAACCTATAACTTTGTCTTGAAAGTTTGATTTTTAAAAAATACAATAGGAATGAATTTTAAATAGAGAAAACACCTATTGTGTTGAACCAATTTTGCCTTAAGGGAATTTATCTGTTAAACTGTAACCAAATATATGTGTATAGTGCAAAGCATTATTTTAAGAATTAAAAAACTTCTATGACTCCTCCAAATTGGTGAATCCAGGAATATCATTTCCAGATAACACAGGTTCCCTTCTGATGGCATGATGAGAGGTCTGACGTGACTTCCTCTTCTCCTGAGTTTCTTCTCCTAAGTTAGCAGTAACATAAATGGTAAGTGGAGAAGATGGACTTTGAAGGGTTAGAATTTACCTGGTTCATCAACCTTCTCAGTTCCTGATGTTTGTTTATGTAGAGAGCCCCAAGTCTAACCAAATGAAGTGTGAAGAGTGACAGACTCAAGTAGGCACAAACACTATTCAGGTACCCCTTCCAGGTATTTGTTCTCACATCAGAGAACATCAGCCTCACTGGCAGCAGACTCCCCCAGAAGATTCCCAGATACTGATTCTGTGGCCCCGGGGCTATGGACCAGGAATCTGCATTTTTAGCAGTTCCCCTGGTGAAAGCAGACTTTCTGAGCACTGCCGTGAGGGATGCTGACAGCTGAGCTGGATCTGGAATGCCCAAGAGCTGACCGCAGTCCTGCATAAAAACAATACGCTTCGGTCATCTTCCTTTAAGGACGATGAAGGGATTCTTCTAGTTCAAGAGTTTATAGAGGATTACAAGAGGAAGTGCTGAGATTGGAACTCACGCTGAGGAATGGATTAGATGTGGATGCTTAGTTGTAGAGGAGAGAAGAAAAACGGCAGCCACTGCTCTGTGCTGGTGAAACCCCAGCTTGGGGGTTGCTTGGGGGTGATTCTGAGGGAAAGGGGTCCTCCCAGCACTGTGGTGGGGAGCAGTGGGAGGAACATGCTGTGATTTTGCATTTTACCCTTATGAGAACCAGGGTACACTCAAGACTTAGAGGTTGCACCATGCAGAGAAAATGAAATACTAACAATGTATCAATGCTATCCAACAATACACAGTTTATTGAAGCTGCCATTGTTGTCTCAAGGCTGGGCAGAAGGTTCCGAGTAAAGCAGCGACTTCAGCATTTTATCTCTTATCTGCTGCCACAGCCGCTTTCTCCACCTTTCCTCTTCCAGATCTGCTTCTGGTCCTTGCAGCTGCCAACCCTGTTGGTGACCTCCTTCCCACCTGTGTCTGCTCTTCCCGGTCTGTTTCCTGGCTATGATTTGGCTTAGCACGGTAATATTTCTGACGATTTGCTTCTGCTGCTTTGCCTCTGGACCTCTCAAGTATATACTTGCTCCAGCTCAGCACTTCTCTGGGAACCTCCCAACCCAGTGTGACCTGATTGAAGATGCCCCGCCCACTAAGATGCCCCCTCCACTGGCCAAACCCGTGAGAAGGTGATATTAACTATAATGCCACTGATAAGGCACTTGGCTAGAAGTGGCCATAGCAATGCCTCTTTCCTTTTGCCTGTCCTAGTTTGATCTTATGTGTTAGATGTCCCGTGCATGCTTGCTAAGTCATGTCAGTCGTGTCCTACTCTTTGTGACCCGATGGACTGTAGCCCACCAGGCTCCTCTGTCCATGGGATTTTTCAGGTAAGAATACTGGAATGGGTTGCCATTTTCTTCCCCAGGGGATCGTCCCAACTCAGGGATCGAACCCAAGTTTCTTACGTCTCCTGCACTGGCAGGCAGGTTCTTTAAAACTAGTGCCAACTGGGAAGCCCTTGGATATCCCATACTTGTCCCATTTCACACTTGTCATAATCCTTGCTGACTAGTTATAGGACTAGTTAAGGAATGGCAAGTGGGTCTCTTCTCACATACCAATTCTAGTCAGTTGTTAATGAATCAGTTAGTATAGCATTCAAAAGACAGCATCTGATAGCCTAGCTCAGGGGACCATAGCCAGTCAAATCATGCCTATCTTGGTTGAGGATATGGGTAGAGTCTTACACTTGAAGAGACTGCTATCATTGGACTAAATGATTTCTTCTTTCCTTTAGGGCTGATAAATTAACTGCAACTGCTTCGTAGTATCTCTTTGCATTCCTTTACTGAAACCCCGGTCTTTTAATAAAGAAACTATTTTGAATGCATTAGCATTTTCCATTCATATTTACTATGAAAATATATGCAAAATAGAAACTGCAGGAACTGTGTCTTTTCTCCAAAGAGAATACACTCCTCAGGTGCCTTTGGCAGAATCCATTTGGCAGTTATAGTTTGGGAAGTGGATGTCTTCCGAGCTTTAGGTTGGAAAAGGAGTAAGCTTCTAGGGTGAACGATGTCAGAAAAACTGTTCCCCATTATTTGCAAGCCCTTCCCTCTATGGCTGTCTCTTATCTTTCATTATCAAATGTCATAGTTACTAGTCTCTCATAACAAAATGTTGCCTCTGTCTTATGTGAGTGAAAGTTGCTCAGTTGTGTCCAACTCTTTGCAACCCCATAGATTAGCCCAATAGGTTCCTCTGTCCATGGAATTCTCTAGGCAAGAATACTGGACTGGATTGCCATTTCCTTCTCCAGGGGATCTTCCCAACCCAGGGATGGAACTCGGGTTTTCTGCATTGCAGGCAGCTTCTTTTCCATCTGAGACACTTGGAATGTAAACACCCAGGTCATGGGGGTCAGCATCCAGAAGTGCAGTCCTTCTTGATGCAAAATTGCAGAATTAGGGCAAGTCCACTGCAGAGCATTCCTACCTATACGTGTTCTTTCCTACGAGTATCATCTTCAGACAGGAGCACTGACTCAACTTACCTTGTAATGGAAGAGAAACAACCCACAGAACAAGCTGTACAGATCTGCGGTGAGCAGGGAGAGGTTGACCGACGTGGCGCTGGTTTTCTTTATGACCACGGGCATGAAGCTGTAGAGACCAAACATGCAGGCACTAAAGCCGACGTAGAGCAGTCCTGGAGGGAGAGGAAAGACAGGTGATATCATAGCCTCCTCCGGGGCCTCGGTGGAGCCACAGTGGGTGAAGGGGAACAGCACCCCCGCTCCATTTCACTCTCAGGAGTTTTTCTTCCACTCCATCAACTGATGTTTTTTATTGGGTAATACATAGCTAAAACATAAAATAAGTGAAAACCTGCATGTGGAACAAGAACTACATGCTTCTCACACACATCTGATGTTTCGCCTCTGCTGTGAAGGAGAGTGGCTACAATCAGAAATAGGGTCAAGGCTTCTAAATTCTACTTCCGGTTGTGCTGTAATTACTTTCTTGTACCCATGTCTTTTAAAACTTTGTTCACTTCTTTTTATCTGCAACATAGGAACAAAACTATTTGGTACCATGTATTGCTCACAACAATGAATAACTGCACAATCCTTAAAATGAAAGCGCTTACATGTCAAAGAGATGTGGACTAAGTCACAGTACTGAACTAACATCTTAACTGTGTGACCTTGGATAGACCACTTCACATGAGCTGTCAGTTTCTTCCAGATTTCTGAATTCTGCTTAGCACTACTCCTGAAACCAGAGTCCTATTCCACCATCACTTTTCCTAGCATATGTGGGCTCTCACACGTAGGCTCTGCTATTTTATAAATAGGTAAATGCTTTGCAGGCCATCAAATAATTAAGTTTTGCAAAACAGAAAGATTAAAAAAAAAATGCCCTTTTGCTACATGATTAGTCCCTCAAACTCTGAAATTCTCTCTCTCGCTCTAATTATAACTCAATATACAATTGTTAATACTAACTCCATAAGTACATAATTTTGTTCAGTCCAAAACAGAAGATTATGGCTAAATCTAGGGTTTGGTTCATCATTTCCTCAATGTTGATACAACACAAATGCAGAAAAATTATGCCCATTTCTCTACCTTAAAAGAATAAGGCATAGAATAAGCACAAGTATTATAACTCAGTGGATCTTTGGGCATTTTTATATAATATTAAATAAAAGATCCAAACTATCCAAGGGAACCTTGATGGCATGTTTGGTTTAGGCTGTAGGCAGATCACTTTCTTTGAATCCTGTGAATTTTGGAAGATTTGGCAGGTATTGGACACCCAGTCCCTTTGACCCTGAAGAACAGGGGTCCCTCCAAAGAGAAATTTGGTTTTCCCATATGGGACATGTTTCTGATATTAAGTTTAAGGATAGCCATGGCACGTCCATATAAAAATATTAAGTAAGCAAACTCAGTACAACAGCCCCCTCTAGTGTGGTGGAGATGCCCTAAGAGGAAACTAGAATAATCACTTTTCTATTAATTGTTCAGTAAATTATACAAGTCCTCTTGTGGAAATTCTGTCACAGTCATGTCAGATGGCTTTTGACTCTCTGTCTGAAGTTTTAAGTCCCTAAAATTGGTCAATTTTCCTGTACTTGGGTTTCATGCTATTTATAATTCATTTTCCTTTTAAACAAGTTACTAAAACGGCAATATTAAATAACCTATGATTAATACATGAAAAGACATAAAAATTAATTCAGTATTCCTTTAAGGAATCTGAGATGAACAGACTAGACTAGGGATAAGATACACCCTTAAATTAATCTACTAAAAGTAATCAAACTTGATTAAAATATAGTCCAGGAACCAGGGCCTCCGCCCCCATCACTTTTTAAAATTTAGATTATGCATGACTGGGTTAGGAAGGTCAACAATCCTATCCTCCCATCACCTGACCTAGTGTTGATATACTGTGAACTCTCACATGTGAGATCTGATGTTGTATATTCAATTATTCAACCATGTATTCACTGCGTATCTACTGTGTTCAAGGAACTCTGCTATGGGCTAGCATGCAATGGAAAAAAAGGATAGACAAGAAACTTAGAACTGATATTAGTGCTATGAAGCAAGAAAAGGGTTGCTTATGGGGAATTACAGGGGTATTGCTTTTGGAAAGGTGGAAGCGGCATTGACTTTAAATGCTGAAGGACTAGAAGGAGATGGCTAGGGGAAAAATAATTTAGGCAAGGAGACCTACAAATGAAAAGACCCTAATGGTTCCCAGGAGCTGCAAGAGGCCAGAATATCTGAGCAGGATGAACAGACTGAGACAGTGATAAGAGAGGAGACTGGAAAATTAGGCAGGGGGTGGATTATGTGGGGTCTTGTAGGTCTTGGAAGGAAGTTGATATCTTATTCTAGTTGTAATGGGAAGCCATTGAGGAATTTGTAGCAGAAGGCTAACTTGTAGTCTGATCTACCTTTCTAAAAGATGGCTTTAGATATGCATGGAGAAGGGACTGAAGGAGCAAAGCTCAGAGGAAACCAGTGAGGAACTCAGGGTCTCCGTCCAGGCAAGAGATGCTGGTGGCTTTTGCTCAGAGTGGCAGTGGTGATGAAGGGAAGTGGCTGGTTTCTGAAGGTTCAGCACGCCCTGCTGAATGTGTTGTCTGGATGTGTTGACTGGATGTGCTGTCATTGTTTAGTTGCTGAGTTGTGTCTGACTGTTTTGTGACCCCATAGCCAGCCAGGCTCCTCCACCCATGGGATTTCCCAGCAAGAGTACTGGCATGGGTTGCCGTTTCCTCCTCCAAGGGATCTTCCTGACCCAGAGATTGAACCCAAGTCTTCTGCATTGCATTGCATAGTCTTGCAGGCAGACTCTTCACTGCTGAGACACTGGAGTAGCCTAAAATCTTTCTACTCAATTTTACAACATTCCAAAGTAGTTGTTCAGAAATATTTGTGTTCTCCCAAGACTTTCCTGGTGGTCCAGACTGGATGCATGTAGTAAGAAAAAGGACAGCATCAGAGACACCCATGAGTTCACGTGATGGTGGTTTGGTTGCTAAGTCATATCTGACTCTTGCGACCCCATGGACTGTAGCCTGACAGGCTCCTCTGTCCATGGGATTCTCCAGGCAAGAATAACTGGAGTGGGTTGCCATGTCCTTCTTTAGGGGATCTTCTTGACCTGGGAATCGAACCTGGGTCTCCTGCATTGTAGGCAGATTCTTTACGAACTGACCTACAATGGGTTCCTGTGGATTCTGGCTAATTAGAAACTGTCGCTGAATTATGACATCATTTACTGAGCTGCAGAGAACTGAGCAGGAGGACCAGGTTTTCAGGGGAAAGAAAAAGCTCCATTTTGAACATGTTAAGTTTGAGATGCTTGTGCATCATCCAAAAATATTTGTCCGGTAGGGAGTGGATTTATAATTGGTAGCTCAGAGAGAAGAGTGTGACTTTACAAGCAAACTGATGAGCCATGGAGTGGAGGAAAGCAGACACACGGCAGAGTTCACTCTCCTCATCAGGCTGCCTTGAGATTCTCCAAGCTTAAACACTTAAACGTCCTAAACTTATTCTTTACAAATGCAGAAATTAAACTCAGGGGGATGAGAATAAAATACAAACACCATCACATTCAATCACTTTTCTGGGTCAACCAGCCTTTCTGTGTGTGGATAACCAGTCAGCCAAATGAACACAAGATTGAGAGTGGGCATGTTGTGCTGCTGCAATTTGCTGATTTTTTGTTCTCAGATAAAAAATTAACTAGTTAATGGACATTAGTGATACACCCAGAGAAGGCAATGGCACCCCACTCCAGTACTCTTGCCTGGAAAATCCCATGGACGGAGGAGCCTGGTAGGCTACAGTCCATGGGGATGCAAAGAGTCGGACGTGACTGAGTGACTTCACTTTCAATTTTCACTTTCATGCATTGGAGAAGGAAATGCAAATCCACTCCAGTGTTCTTGCCTGGAGAATCCCAGGGACGGGGGAGCCTGGTGGGCTGCTGTCTGTGGGGTCACACAGAGTCAGACACGACTGAAGTAACTTAGCAGCAGCAGCAGCAGCAGCAGCGATACATCCGAAGGCCCAGCTTGCTGTCCTTATGGGATTTTTCAAGCACTCGATCGACAGGATCAAACAAACTGAATTACTTCTGACTGATAAACACATGGTGGGTACAATAACTACATTTTCAGACAAAGTATATGCATGATCGTTTCTTTTCGGAAATGTTTTCTCTCTCACTAAAGACAGGATTTGGTAACTCTTGTCCTCATATGCTAAAGAGATTTAAGCTAGAGAAACTGGGAAGAATACCATCAGCTAAGACTAAGTACTTGCTATGTGTCATGTACTTTATGTACATTAATCTCCACAACAGTATAACTCCATTGCTATTGTTATCCTCTTTACACACATGAGGAAATAGGCTCATAGAATGTATTGGTTAATAAACACAGTCCACAGCAGGTTCAACAGAGGAAATACAATATGGGGTGGAAGTTATAAAGGAGTTTGAACGGGCAATGGGGAAAGATGGATGGTAAGACAACCCAGACATTAGCAATGGCAGTAAATTATTCATATCCCTGGGGCCAGAGAGGTCCAGGGAGGAGGCCATGTTATCAGAGGTCAGAAGTCAGGGAGGCGGAGCAAAGGTGTAATCAGAGGACACTCGGCCATTGCTAGAGACTTGACCTGAAACAGGGAGACACATCCTGGTCTCTTGCTTCCTCCCACCCTCCAGTCTCCTTCTACTGCCTCCCAGAGCGAATCTAGCAAAGTCAATTAACATGCCGGCCTGGGAGGCATTGTTTGCAAGGGTCAGTCTCTGCACTGCCGAGCAGAGTAAGGGTAAGAAACAAATCTGTGAGAAGATAGGCAAAAGACAAGCTTCTAGAGGTCGAGTAGCTCACCTTCAGGTCACTCAGGCTGCATGACTTTAAATTCTGCGTGCATACCACTAACCTATATTGTTTAATTATTATGAAGAGAAATAGGACGTGGATGAAGCATTCTATTTGACTGTAATGAGCATATCATTTTATATGGGAATATATACACAATGCATTGTAATGCATGATATATCATGTGATAGGCGATATATGTGTTTATTTGTAATGGATATTGTATATACATATATATATAGTATATGTCTGGGTTTGCTGCATATATTTTATCTCATCATTTTCTTTGGGATTACACTGGTATTCTTTCACTTTCCTTTGACTGGATTTTTAAAATGTCATTTTTAATTCTTAAAAATAAAGGCGAGGTAAGATGAAATCAGGACATATGTACTAAGGCACCAACCTGGGGGGCGGGCTCAGAGGGTGCAATTAGTTCCACCACAGGCAGCCATGAGCCCAGTGAAGCGGCCTTAGTTCCCCAGCTCCAGTTCGGCATTAGCAAAAAGAAAGGCTATACTATTCTTAATGATATGTAAGGTTTTTTTCTGCTTTGTGGTCCCACTACTGCATCTTCAGGAAAAGGTCAAATCTCTTGTTTTGGCCTCCAAGACAAAATCAAAACCAAAGCAATCTTTGCTCATGGCAAGAAAAGTGAAGCCCCAGGGGCTTCCCTCATAGCTCAGTCGGTAAAGAATCTGCCTGCAATGCAGTAATCTGCCTGCAGTGCAGGAGACCTAGGTTCAATTCCTGGGTCTGGGAGATCCCCTGGAGAAGGACATGACAACCCACTCCAGTATTCTTGCTTGGAGAATCCCATGGACAGAGGAGCCGGGCAGGCTACAGTCCATGGGGTCGCAAGAGTTAGACACGACTTAGCGACTAAATCACCACCACACCACAAATCAGTTCTGGGTGACCCACCTCTCATGTTTCCTTCCTTTGACAGTGGACTTGCATATCAGCTAACACTTGTCCTTCAATACAATGCAAATGGGATAAAGGGAACGCTTAAGCTAGTTATTAGATTTCACACACGCCTGCTCACTGAGACCATGTTAGTCCTATAAGGTCCTACATTTCACTTGAGTTTCATGATTACATAACCAGCCCCAGTCTTTCTGTTCAGTAGAGTAAAATTAGGAAATAAAAACAAACAGCATCAAAGACTGTTATCTTCTTGCTTTTAACTACTCTTTGTATCTTGCAATTGGTCAATGTTATTAGAAAATATCAGAAACTGTTAAAAAATGCTTTGCGAATCCAGAAAATATAAAACATGTTTATTATCCCATTTGATCCATAGAACAAAAAATGTTTTTACTTTGGTAAAATGGGAACCACAGGAGCTGTGCAAGAGACTGTGATGGGATCACTGGTGGGAGATAAAGAGAGTCTTGGATCTTGGTCTGTCAACTACAGCACACTGATCAGAGCTCAGCATTCTAGGGTGACTTCCTATAGCATGTGGGCAGGCCTTGATGGGAGCTCCATCCCTCTGGGTGTCTCCCTGCCTCCAGGGCCCACAAGTTGTAGTAGCCGCTATGCCACCTCCTGGTTTCCCAGAAAGAAATGTCAGAGCTAAGCCTAAGCCCAGTGCCCTTCCTCCACTGTTTTCCCTTTTGTCTACATTTTTGTAAGTTGAGAGACGGTAAGACAAGCCCCGTCTCCTTGGCTTGTCATTCATTCATTCACTCATTTAAAAAATACTTCTTCATTAAATTTTATGTGCCTAGAACTGAGCTAAGTCACTAGAAGCTTACAGTAGGTTGGGATGAGGTAGGAGGACAAAGATGACCCTTATCCACGCTTCAGAAAGAAAAGATGAATATTTGGTTCCTTTTCTAGACCATTTGAGACTCATTTCCAATCAGGAAAATTAAATAAATGGCTTTACAATGTGTTCCTTTCACACGGCCCTTCATCATCTTGGACCACAGGGAATTGACATTTTCATAGCAATACGAGGGTTCAGTGTACTCTGATGACACATTTAACTAACACTGAATTATAACAGAGCCTTGGTGGACATGCCCATGACATCTGCATAATTGGAGGACAAATTATTTTTTATTAGTGCTACTACTATTAATATAAAATTAATTTATACTCATGGACCACTGCATGTGAAGTGTTACGAAGCACAGCTAACATTCTGGCTCTGAGACTCTCAGAGACCATGAGGCTGTAACCTGCAGCTGGCTTCCCTTCTCAGCCGCCTTCCTCTCCTCTCTACAATCCCTTGTCTTTATTGACTTTCATTTAATTGTGTCATTTTACAGCAAAACTCGAGAGAAATTAAACGGCCGGACTGTGACAGACACAAGGGCTGGGGAGCGCGTGAAGTCACTAAAGAGAACCCCAGGGGAGTGGGGCATAGTTCGGCAGTGCCTGCTGTGTCTTCAGAGGGAATCTGTCAGCAGCAAGTCAACCCTGGACGCTTCAGGGTCCAGGTAAATGGTGCAGGGAGCTTTATGTCTCTGTTGTCCTTGTTCAGAGAAGCAGAATTTGACGGGAGCCATTCCCTTGTAGCTCAGTCCGTAAAGCAGCTGCCTATAATGCAGGAGACCTGGGTTCGCATTCCTGGGTTAGGAAGATCCCCGGAGAAGGCAATGGCACCCCACTCCAGTACTCTTGCCTGGAAAATCCCATGGACGGAGGAGCCTGGTGGGCTGCAGTCCATGGGGTTGTGAAGAGTCAGACATGACTGAGCAACTTCACTTTCACTTTTCACTTTCATGCATTGGAGAAGGAAATGGCAACCCACTGCAGTATTCTTGCCTGGAGAATCCCAGGGACTGGGGAGCCTGGTGGGCTGCCATCTATGGGGTCGCACAGAGTCGGACACAACTGAAGCGACTTAGCAGCAGCAGCAGCCAGTGTTCTTGCCTGGAGAATCCCCATGGACAGAGGAGACTGGCGGGCTTCAGTCCATGGGGTTGTAAGAGTCGGACACGACTTAGCAACTAAACCACCACGACCACCACCACCATTAGTTCTGTGAAAGAGCATGTAAGCTGGGGATGGCTTGAACAGTCCGCTTCAGAGTGGCGAACCGCCTGCATTTTCACTTCCCATTTGCATTCATCGGGCACGCATTTTCCAAGCACCCTCATAAGCCCACCTCCAGGCTCAGTGCTGGAACCCAAGTGTCTTGGTATAGAGACACTGAGGGGAAGTTTCAGGGCTTCCTCCCTGATCTTTGAGGGTGAGAAATGTCAGCCCCTTCCAAGGCTTGCTGAGTGATCATTATCAGAGCATCACCTAGGATCTTAACTCCTTGTCCTACTTTTTTTTTAAGAGAAAAGTGACTTTCGAAACAGGTGGTGCATAGCTGCCCTGGATGACTGTGAAGTGGTTCAAAGCCTGTCTGGTATTTTCCACTGAGTCCATTTGGAGATCAATTAACCGTGTCTTTTGAGCAAACTGCTCCCTTCTGAAAAGGTTTTTATAGGTTCAGAATGTCCATTACATTGTTTCCTTTTGTGCCTTTTTGTTAAGTTCAGCTTTTTTTTTTCCCCCTTTAGTAAAGTGTCACTTTTTAATGATCACATCAGTTTTGTGTTTCTCAGCTAGAGCAAATTGCTGTCATTTGTGTCCCACCAGCACCTCGGGGCATTTTTCTTTCTGGTTGGTCTTTAACCTAAAAACACACTTCTGTGTCCACACTAATGGCATCTTGACGATGATAATGGGCAGAGGCTCAATTAAGAAACAATATGAATCATACAGATCAGGCTCCTCTAGTGGGTGAGAGTCCCCAGAGTGACAAGGGGGGTTTCATTTTCTCTTGTCCCCTGCAGTCTAAGTCCTTTCCCAGTTGGTGCCTCACCACCACCCCAGTCACTCTCCAAAGGTTATTTTCCTGGTTTACTAAGAGCAGCATCTCAGGTGAGCAAACCCCTTACCTATTTGCCAGTCCCAGGGCACCTTCAACAGCTCCTTGTGCTCCATTATAGCTCTGTGGATTGAAAGAAAGCAGAGCTGATGAGCAATGTGGCCTACTTTTTTTCTTGTTGTTGTTCACTAACCAGATTTATACAAATCGTGAAGCAACCAGTTGAATTCCAAAAATAACTCTGGATCACACAGAGGCTAGTTTCATTAGGTAGCTCAGCCCAAGATTGGTTCCCGCAGACCCACCACGGTCCTTCTCACCCAGTGTGCCTCTAGCTTTCACTTCTCGCTCAGATGCTTTCTCAAAAGTACATGGCAAGGTTGGAAAATTTCTGGGCTTGCAGGTTTAATCCGTTTTCTGATTGAGCACTCTCCAGGGCAGTGTTTCTCAAACTTAAATGTACAAAAATACCACCTGGAGAGGATGTTAAAAAAAGTTTCCTGGGGACTTCCCTGGGAGTCCAGTGGTTAAGAATCTGCCGTGTCATGTAAGGCAGGCAAGTTCGATCACTAGCCAGGGAATTAAGATCCCACATACAACTGAGCCCATGCGCCACAATGAAGACCCAATGCAGCCAAAATTAAAATAAATAATAAACCCCCAAAAATGTCTGAAAAATAAAAAAACAGTTCCTGGGCCCCATCCCTCCAGAGGCTGATTCAGTAGATCACAGTAGGGCCCTTGGATGTGCATTTCTGACAAGTTCCCATGTGGTGCTAGGACTGCTGGTCAGAGAATGAGACTCTGAGAACCACTGTTCTGAAAGGACCAGGAGGGGAGGGTGGTGCCCTCCGCCTGTGTCACTTTGGTTTTATTGCGCCCTTAACGTAACCCATTTGCCAAACACACTCATACGCCTCTTCCGCGATTTTGGCAGCAGTGTGTCTGAAGGGCTCCTCAGTTCTAATGGTCTATAACTGAAGCAAATGAGTGCTAGATCTCCGAAGATACTTTTTTTTAGATTCAAGAATAATAATCCATAAAATGAGCCACCCATCTACAAAATGTTGGTTACGAACAGTTGAACTAGGCAATTTCTTTTCCTCTTATGAAGCTGAAGTGCCAAATTTAGAAACTTTAAAATTTAGAAAGCCATCATGCTTTCAAAATGAATCCCAAATAAATCTGTCTTAGAGAGTCTTCCTATCTCCTGGCCCTGTTTGCTATGGAGTTCCCCACCTGTATCTCAGGACACCAAAATTTGAAGAATTCTTGGAAAGAGCCTATTTGCAAAACAGATTTAAAGTGATGCCAAAATAGCCTCCTTAAATAGTTTCAGACACAGATGCAATGACAAAGAACCTGCTTGTAGAAAGTGATGTGGTGAAAATCAGAATTACTCACTTTGCAGATAGGATTTGCTGAAATTTGACAGGAGGATATATTATGCTTCTTTATCTCTTACATGAAGCTAAAATACATGGCCTTTATTGATGAAAAATTAGGCTTTGCTTGATACTTATTCCATAGCAACTTCTGAGCCCTAGTCAATGATGACATATATACTCCAATGCCAGAATTACTGAAAGCTTGCTGTTTCTGACTTTTTGATGCTTAGTGAATGCCTATGTTATATCTTGACCCATTTAAGGAAAATGGAAACACTAAGTTTCTAGTTTCTAAGAGATGAATTTCTGTTGTTGCTGGTGTTTTTTTTTTTGGCTGAGTCACAAGGCTTGAGGGATCTTAATTCCCCAACCAGATATTGAACACTGGCCATGGCAGTAGAAGTCCTAACTACTGGACTGCCAGGAAGTTCCCTGAGAAATGAATTTGAAATGTGGTTCACTTGTGAAAACCCATGAGCAATAAAAGAAATTATAAAAGGACAAATTAAAAAAAATAAAGGACAAATTTAAACTCTAAGTTTTCCAAGTTGTGGTTACTAGTAAAAGACTAGTATACTAGTTGTCACTAGTAAACAGAATGCCCCTTTTTGTAAGTGCATCAAATCATGGCATTTACACTTGGTTTTCCTATTTCTCTAAGTATTAATAAAACCTCATTGGCTGGTTTGGGAGAATCAGTGTACTTTTAATGCTTTCTTATAAATTATTTTCAAAGTCCATTACATAAATTCATTAAAAATTCATTTAGTTTGGAAGAAATTTATTAATAAAGATACTGAGTCTTCACATTTCATGTAGGAGGTTTGTAACAGGTTTCTAGCTGTGATTTTTAGAAAATAAAGTGAACAGCCATAACCTAAATGAAAAATATTTTAAAAATAAGCTTTAAGCGTATCAACTGCCTGAATTTCTTGTTAGTTTTTACTCACAACTGAATTCCACTGAAAAATGCCCCGAAGAGTCCAATCATTCCCAGGAATTCCACTCGGCTCAGAGTTCGGATGATGTATTCTTCCCAGACGTTAGAGATACCATATAGCGTGGCTCCTCCTAAGACCAGGAGATCCCCCACCAGCTTATTTTCCCCTAGGAATAGAAAAAGAAAAAGAAAAAGGAAGCTTTATTAAAATTTTACTAACAAGAATTTGGCCCCAGCAAAATCAGCTTCCTGTGCTTATTCTGAGGCTTCCCTGGTGGCTTAGACTGTAAAGAATCTGCCTGCAATGAGGGAGACCCGGGTTTGATCCCAGGGTTGGGAGGATCCCCTGGAGAAGGAAATAGCTACCCACTCCAGTGTTCTTGCCTGGAGAATTCATGGACAGAGGAGACTGGCCGTCTCAAAAGTGTCAGACACTACTGAGGAACTAACACACATGGTTAGTCTATTCTGACATTTTAGAGAAGTTCTGTATTTTGCCTACTGAGATTAAGTAAAGTCTGTTTATGTGTGTTTCAGATATGTTGTGATGTAAAAAGGTTGCTCTGTCTACCCAATAAGAAGTATTCCCTAGCTAAGAAAGGGACTAGTACTGTCTCTGAAGAGTCCCATGTCTTCTGTCCATGGGTTGAAAAGTTCATAGTCTGAAATGGACTATGGGTTGAAATTTTCAACTCCCCTAAAGCAAGCAACAGAAGAGTGAAAATATATGTAATTGATTATCACATCAATATTTTTCTTCTTTCATAAAAAGTATCTATTTGTTCTAAATTCAGTTTTGGCTAGTTTTGGTTTATGTCCAATCTCTCATAAATTATGTACCCAACTATTTTCTATAATTAGGCCAACTCTTTCTACTCCAGGAAGTGTGAAGCCAGGAAAGGAGAGTGGGAATCAGCAGCTGGAGGCCCCATAGTAAGCTTGTACCCAAGTGGTCTCCAACTCTGACCTGTGTAGTCGGCTCATGGGCGCTCAGTAGATGTGAAGTTCTGGGGCAGAAGAGGTGCAAGCTGGGGAGGGGACTCTGTCCAGCGAGATTCTAAGGGAGAGACTCACCCTAGAGTAGCCTTGCATTCCCAGCTCAGCTGGAACAATCTAAAACTGCAGAACCAGATTCTGTATAGCTGGGAGCACTGCACACTCTCCACCAAGAGGTTTCACGTTAAAGAATTTGGGTGGGGTTTGGGGAGAGATCTCAAGCCTCTGTGGTCACCTCCAGAGATACTGACTCCAATTAGTGTCACTTTTTCTAAGACAAGTTCCATTCCTAGTAAGGATCAGAGAGAGAGAAGATAGTCTGAAAGGCTAAGAGTTTGCTGGGGTCCCTCTCAAGGGAATGGAGCTGAGAGTCTGGATCAGCGAGGGCTGGCAGCCCTCACTGGGCTCCTGGAGAGCAGATGACCCAAGAACATGATGAGGCTCCAAGGAGCCTCAGGGCTGTGTCCTGAGTGTGTCTTCTGGGGAAATTAATGTTGCCATTCTAGAGTAACCTGATTAATCTCTTTTTTTTTTAAATTTAGTTTTTATTTTTTTAACATCCAAAACATTTTGTACTGGGGTAGAGCTGATTAACAATGTTGTGATAGATGTGGTGTACACACACACACACATACACACAATGGAATACTACTCAGCCATTAAAAAGAATGAAATAAGGCCATTTGCAGCAACATTGATAGACCTAGAGACTGTTGACTGAGTGGAGTAAGTCAGACAGAGGAGAAATATCATATGACATCCCTTATATGTGGAATCTAAAAATAAATGATACAAATGAACTTACAAAACTGAATAATCTTTTTTATGTGTCAACTAGAAAATCATGACAGAACTTATAATTTTAAGGAGTTAATTTGAGGAATAACTGATAAAATAAAAAGCATCCATTACTAAGATTATAAGATAATGAACATGATTCAGTCACTTTTCAATAAGGAGTCATTTCAGAATCTTGTGGTGACATGGGGCAATTACTATGAATATCAATTATTGTTGTATTAGTGAAGTGTGGAAATGCTGCTTGATAGAATTCTTGGTTAATGAAATTAACTTTATATGAATGGATTCAGGAAAGTTAAATTATAATAAAATATTTTAATAGAAATTAGAGAAACATCAGTCCAGCTTTTAAAAGTCTTAAAATGAGGCTGAACTGTTTCAATGAATAGTCCCACCAATCTTTTTCAAACTCCACATTTGTTTCATTATGGTCTATTCTGTTAAGCCTTTGACTATGTGGCATCTACTCCCCAGTACTTTGAATTTTTCACAGTCATAATTTTTGTTAATAATGATACAACTTTGTGTAACTGCACGTTAAGAAGTATTTCCTAAGTTATTGGGGACAAAATGATTAAATAATATCTAGTAAAATTTTACCAGTAAATGTATTTATCAGTTTTTAAATCATTTGACAGTAGATACTTACACATAGAGCATGTGTGAAATTTTAGATGATTAAATATAATTGAACTAACCAGGACATGATTTTATCTAACCATATCATAAATGAAGTGTTTGATATAATACAATTTGTAGTTAGCTGGAAATTATAACATGCCCTATTAATGCAATAGATATTTGACATGGTTGAGTCAGTTTTTCTGAATGTTCACAGGGAAAATTATATCTAGCAAATGTGTCATTTATGTGTGGGTGAAACCACAATGAGTGATAATGTTTTGCAGATTTGGGGTAAATGGACACATTTGAAATTATGAGAAGTCCATTCAAGCCCATGCCTTCTTTGTCTCCTCTGAATTTCACACTCTTATACCTGTGTGAGTACCAGAGTAAGCTCTGGGAGTTGGTGATGGACAGGGAAGCCTGGCATACTGCAGTCCATGGGGACGCAATGAGTCAGACATGACTGAACTGAACTGAACTGTACCTGTGTGTGGCCCTCACTGCATTCTGCTTCACATCTGTTATTTGTTACCTTGCATGTCTTCCCTTCTCCCTGTTTTCTTCCACAATAGGGTTGAAGGGTCTACTGTGACTTACTTGGTTTTATATTCTGTGTGGGCCCTAGCACAGATTCTGGCGCATTGTAAGTTCTCAATAAATGCTTCAGTGAGTTGAACTGAAAAAAAAAAGGTCTTTCTTTTTCAATCCTGTGCTAAAGACGTTGAGTGGCGACATCTTTCAGTTCAGGTAGACGTGGATTCTAATTGCATCTCTGTCACTTAATACTTGTGGAACATGGGCAAGCTATAGAGTCTTTCTGACTTGAGTTTTCTTATTTGAAAATGAGGTTATGGTGAGGATACTGTAAAATAATGTCAATAAGATTTTAAAATGCAAAATAAGGTAAAATGCCTAGTATATTGGCACTTATTAAGTGTTCAGTAAATGGTGGTCAAAAAGAGTGAATCAATCATTCTCTTTGAATCACCACCTGTCAGTTCGGCTTGGCCATTTCTCATTTTGGATTGCTTCTTGGTTCTAAACAACCTAGTCATAATTGCTTTGCAAGAATTGGTTTTCCTTATTAAAGTTTTCATTAAGTACTAGGAATACTATTTTTGGAGGGATACTTGTGTCTGTGTAGTAGAGAGAGAAGAGGGAATGTTATTTAAAATCACCACTTACCATTAGTTCAAGAATAAGTGGTGAATTATAGATAGCATTACTGTCACAATGGATATGAATTTGAGCAAACTCCAGGAGATTGTGGAGGACAGAAGAGCCTGGCACGCTGTAGTCCATGGGGTGGCAAAGAGCTGGACATGACTTAGCGACTGAACAACAACATAGTATTCTAGAGTGTTGAAAGACTACTAATGAAATTTATGAATATGAAGCCATCTCACTAAACATTTTTGAGTTTTAAATGGAACCAACTGCTTTGTTTCTCTGAGACTCACTTGGCTTTAGCACAGAAAGTCCTACATCTGGGAAACACCTCCATTCTGGACAACCTGGGACAGTCATTCATCCTAATTTACTACAATTGAACAATAGTACAATTGAACAATTTTTTACAAGAGTCACACTTATGGAAAAATAAGTATTAAGTGGTGTAGCAGAAAGATATCACATCCTATGACACAATTTTGTAGTGGTGTGCCCTTATACAAGTTTCTTATCTTCCCTGAGTTGTGATTTCTTCAACTGCAAAAGTGAGAATAAAAATACTTTCTTTGCCTAATTAGGAGGATAAAATGAGATGATGCATAGGAAAGTACTTGGCACCAATAAAACTATCACCTTCTAAAATTATGATTATCTAATTCCTTGAAAATATTTTTCTCTTTTGAAATAAATATAAAGTTATACCTGGTAATAAAGAAAAGTATCATTATGTTATCTAACATCTTTGATAAGTGAACTATAAGATGCAATATAAATGTATTGTGATAGAAAGGAGATATTTTGAAGAGTAAGAAATAATTTTATGATAAGGATCTATTTTAATTGAGTTTTAATCTTAAACCTATTATTTTCTAAACTTCTCTTTTATTATATATTCATACGTTTTCCAAAGAAAGTAGAAATATCATGGAGAAACCTCTTTGGCCTTATTACTAAATCATTTTTACACCCTGAACACCTATTCTCAAGAGCCACTTTCTCGCATGTCTTTCCCGCAGGTAACAGTAAATGCAGAGCTGGTCTCTTAGAGGAGGCTTGTGAGGCTGGAGGAAGGTGGCAAAGAATGAATGCACATACTAGGCCCCCTGAGGTTCACTGACAAACTTGGAAAAGACATCTCCTTTGAGTTCAGCCTGGGAGCACTTGTGGTAGATGATCAGTTGTTCCCAAGACAAGCATAGAACTGGAATGTGTTTTTGTTTCCATCCAACTTTGTAAACCATTCCACAGGCTCCAAGGCAGTCTTCATGGACAATATCAAGAGTCCTTGAGGACTGATCTACTGTATAGGACACAGACCTCTGCTCAGGGTTATGTGTCAGCCTGGATGGGAGGGGAGTTTGGGGGAGAATGGATACATGTTATATGAGTATGGCTGAGTACCTTTGCTATACACCAGAAACTATTACAACATTGTTCATTGATGATACCCCAATACAAAATTGAAGGTTTAAAAAATAAAATAAAAAGGTAACAGATCAAGTCAAGAAAAAAAAGTCCTTGAGGACAGAATTTTTAAAATCCCAAGCTAAGGAGAACCATGGACTAGCAATATAAAAAGGATTAAGTCAGTCATCCTCTTTTTCTGCAAAAAGCTATTGATAGAGTGATGACAATCTATATTGAGTTGAATGCCTGATTCAAGTTCTGGTGAGTGCTTGAAGGATTTTACAAAAGTTCTGGCCCTGCAAGTTAATGCAATTTAACCAACTCTTACAGTTAGGGTAACTAATGGAACATTATTTATAATGATGCACACAAGGCTTATATTGTCTTCAAAACCAGTGTGTTATTTTCTCTTTTCAGAATATTTCATATGATAGCTTAAATTACTATCTAATTCAATATTTTTTAGAGACATGAGATGTGTCCAATCATTATTTTATAAAATGAACCCTTGGATCCTAAATTTGGGCTGCCCTCAGGACATCATGCCATATACTTGGGCACCATTACGTGAGCATGGATGGTATTCAACAATGATAAAATTCAATTTTGTTATAACTGGCCCTTCATATGTTACAACAGGAATAAAGCTATAGGCTTTAAACAGTCACACCGACAGACAAAATACTGCTACCGCATGTTTCATTCCTTTAAAAAATGACCACTTTAGAAAGACTCCCAAATAAACTTACTTTCTTTTTCTTAAATAGTACTAGTACTCCTTTCCTAACACTTCACTTGAAAAAAAAAAAACTTTTTTTTTTTTTTACAGGATTAGTGAATATAACCTAGTGAAATCAATTCAAGTCAGTTTAACATTAGCGGCATAAATGCTTAGATTTATCATGACAATTGTCTTCCTTGACTATGATGCAAAATAATGGCCAGGGTGAATGGGGAGGTTCAGCAGAGCAACATTTTCATAAATAAGAGCACCTGCTGCTTAGTCTGTGCTTACACAGTTCAAGCAAAGCTGAGAAAGGGTAATTCAATTGTGACTTTATGACAACTAGCCACGCACATTGTATCGGACAAAAATACTGTTTCATTGGTTCAAAGAGATGATCTACATTGGGATCATGATGGGAATAGAGCAAGAACTAGCCTTTTCATGTAATACCTATCAATTCCCATGGAACACTATTTCACAGAACAGAATCTGGGAAGAGCTGGTGCATGTGTTTTTAGCACATCTGCGGTGGTGGGGGCTGATGACTCTGTGTAAGAGCATTTGGAAGGGGTAGAGACTGTCTCTTTTGCTCTGTGTTATACCTTCAGCTCCTAGGAAGGTGGGAGAGGGAAGGAAGGCTGTTCTAATCTCAGCTATGTGACCTTGGAGAGCTTGCATGGCTTCACTGTGTCTTGGCATTTTTTTTGTGTTAAATATAGGGCCACCAGACAAGGTCCCTTTCAGCCAAAAAACTCTATGGTGCAACTTAAAAACATAAATGATGTTCATTTCAGGTATTTCCTATGACTGAGTCTCAGAGAGAAATGCCCCAATTTTAACTTTTTATCCTTAATTCCCTCGAGGAAAAGGCAATTTCAAGCCGACAGAGCTGTACTCTTTATCCTGTTCCTGATGCTGACAAAGAACATTGTTTTTTTTGTTTTCCTGCCCCCTGAAACTTTCTGTAGCTTGAGGATCTGGGGTATCTTTTAAAGAACTACACTGCTTTAAAAGTGATTGTCTAGAAAGCATTCTGGATCAGTGTTCCCCAGAAGATCATAGCACTTTGATGAGTAAACGTTGAAGCTTACCATGTAGGTCTATAAGGTAATTACCCATGAAAGTGAAAGTGTTAGTCACTCAGTCGTGTCAGCTCTTTGCGAATCCGTGGACAGTACCTCGCCAGGCTCCTCCGTCCATGGGATTCTCCAGGCACGAATACTGGAGTGGGTTGCCATTCCCTTCTCCAGGGGATCTTCCCAACCCAGGGATCGAACCCAGGTCTCCTGTGTTGCAGGCAGATTCTTTACTGTCTGAGCCACAGGGACTGCTACCCAAAGCCCTCCCCTCAAACAAATAAACCAACAAAAAAGATTCATGAGGAGAGTGAACTTGACTCTCCCTCATAAAAACATCGAGCATTCCTAATCTAGTCTTCAAAGTTTAAGTAACCGTGTGTAGGCTGATATGACTAGCTTCACCCAGTAATTGGAAAGCTCAGTCTTCCTGACTTGGGAGAGAAGGCATAGGCAGGTGGGGGGTGGGGGTGGTCCTGGTGGCTCAGGAATGGCCTGATCCACTGAAACTGTGTCTAACGGCTGGTCTGGGGCAGGCAGCTTTAGCCTCCAGCCCATGCTCCAAGTGGGTCATGACTCCCAGCTTTAAATACAGTCTGAATGTTTCTGAATTCCTGTAGAATGGGCATGAAAGCTGTGTTTTGCTTCCTTTGTTCACTCAGGAAACATATCCGAAGCACCTCCTATGTGCCCCTCTCCTGGGTGTAAGGGAACAAACACGAGTTTGTTCCTGGTTCCTGGTTCGCACCATGAGCCACAAACGTTCCACATCTTGCCCTGGGCTCACCCACAGAGGCAAGTAACCCGGCGGACTGGAGACTCACCTGCTCCCTGGTGCCTGCCCACGAGCACGTCCGCGCCCGCCATGCAGCCCATCCCCAGGATGCAGACAACGATGCCGATGAAATGCACAGCCTTGTACCGGATCAGCAGGAAGAACCAGGAGAGCAAGATCACCACCGGGATCACAAAGCAGTCCAGGAGCTATGGCAGGGAGGGAGGGAAGCAACAGTCGGGAGTTCAGAAGGAAGCTTTCCATGTGATGGAAACTGTCGGGAAAATGACTTCTCTCTGCAGAGAGGACACTTCCCCTGAAGCTGAGTTTTGGGGAAGACCCAGAAGTGATGCAATTAAAACAGACTCTGAAACAAACGACATGAACTTTACTCAAACCCAAGCCTTGAAGAAAAGGGGAGAAGGCGAATCAACAAGTCAGGGTGGTGTGAAGATTCTCCTGCCCCTATGGTGTCAGGGCAGCCCAGCTTTCATCTTCCTCAGCACCCAGGCTGACTCCATGGAGACACTCAGATGCGGAGCGAATAGACAGAGCCATTTTAGACGGTCCCAGAACTCTGGAAGCAGATGTGGGAATGGGAGGTGGAGGGGCAGTGGTCTTATACTAGTCTATAAATTATTAGGATCTAGACAGAAGTTGAACTTAATTTCTCCTGGAGCTTTCTCCCCACTACCAATAAAAATTACTTTAATCTGTTTTAACCTGTCATTCTTTATAGGAAAAGAAACCTAAATATAAATACAAATATTAGTCTCAAAACTTTACAAATACTTAAAAAAGGTAAAAAAGGAGAGAGAGAAAAGGAAGAGCAGAGTATTAAGAAATCTTTGATTTCATTTCTTATATATCTTGCACAAATAGTGAGATTCCATCTGACAAGGAAGCCCTAAGAGATGGTGGAGAATTTGTTCCTGATCATGTAGTAAGAGAGCCTGATGAAATGAGAAGACCCCTGTGTTGGGAGCCAAAAGACTTAAATTTGAGTACTAAGTCCTTACTTAGAGCAGTATGACCCTGGACAAACCACAAACTCAGGGAGCCTCAATTTCCTATTAGTATAAATGAAGACTATCTCTAAAGATCATTGTGAAGTTTGAAAATAACCCATGTGAAACCATTTTATAAATTCTGAGGGCCCCAATTCCAGTCTATGTCCTGCTTCCAAACACACTGCTCTGGACTCCACAGAACTGGTTGTCTACACCACCTCCTGGTAAGATGCAGTGACCTCTGGACCTGCCTCTGAGAGGCAGGGTCTCCACTGGACTCGTGGATGGCCCCCAGGACTCCAGACTCCATGGACTAAACAAGAAAAACGAGGAACTGGTGATCCGCTCTCATGGCCCAGTACAGCTCCTCTGCTAGAATCCTAAACAGGTCACCCTACCGCCCAGTAGCCAGATCCAGGGCAGTGGTCACTAATAGCCCTTCCCTTTTACTGTCTACATTCTATGGATCACAAACCAACAGTCCTTCCCTCTTACTGTCTACATCCTGTGAATCGCCAAATTCTGCCAGCTCATCTTCTAAACAACCTCTCAAATCTACTCTCACCATGTCTGCCACGTAGACTGGACTAGCATCCTCTCCCACCTGGAGCAAGACCTTCCTTCCAGCCGCAGGGTCTTCATTCATGCATCTCCTTCCTTCTGGAATGCTCCAACCAATTCTTGAGGACCTGCCTCCTTCTTCAGGCCCACACCTATATACTGCCTCCTCAAACTGCCTCTAGGGTCCCTAGGCTAGGTCAGGTTCTAGTCAATGATTACCTTGCATTCTATACCTCTCCTTTACAGTGTCAATTATAATAATTCATAATTAATATGGAATTATTGCCATAATGTCTGACTTCCCCACTAGTCTGGAGGTCCCTGAGAGCAGGACTACATTTCTAGCACCCAGAGTTCTGCTGGGCTCATGGGACACATCCAATAATAGTTACTGAACAAATACATACAAGGATTTTTAATAATCAGTAGCATCAAAATGGGGTCGCCAAGATTCATTAAAGGCTAAAAAATGTTTGTATATTTCCTAAGCACCCCTTACCATCAGAATAGCTTTTTGGCCCTGTAAACAACACTTGGGATCCTCACTGTCCATAAAGCTTTTTGTGACCTGGACAGACCCTCATGCTTCTCCGTGTTGCAGTCATCTCTGCAGAATGGAGAAAGCCATCAGAAGAGTAAGTTGTCCCTGAGGTTACTGGGAAATGATAATACTGAGCTACATCATGATGGACTAGGGGCTGAGCCCAGAGGTCACAGAACTCTGGGAGGGGATGAGTACAGGGGTGAAAGCTGGTAGGATGGCACTCCAGCATACAGTCCCTCATTGCACAGTTAATTGTCAAGTTAATGATAACTACTTGATGTGATAAAATGCTCTTAAGGCAAGTTTTACAACTGGCCTCAAATACCATTTATTAGGAAATTTGAGTTTGCCAGTGAAAACTCTTCACTGGGCTTAAAACAGTGGGTGTTTTGCTTTAAATATTAGAAATGATTGACTCAACAGTTAAAATATCTAGCTGCATGCTCCACAACTGGGATTTCAGTATCTGGCTGGAAGCCCTCAGTCAGTGAAGCTGAACGATGGACGGCAAGCCAGGCCACCATCCAGGCTTTGAGGAGGGCTCAAGTGAGCTCGTCTGGTTCTCAGTGTCATCAGAAACCCCAAAGCACTCAAGCAGTCCTGGCATCTGTTCCCTTAAAGAGCTGAGCTGAAAAATCTGTACTTGTGAGTGTCAGTTGGTCCTACGGGTAGGGAGGACTTTTAGAAAGAAGAGAAGATGAAAAAAAAAAAAATAAAGAAGAGAAGATGAAAGAATACTACAGTACAAGCCAGGGTTTCTGGGACATTTCAGCTGGGAACCTTGGTGCTTAGCATACAGTAGGGATCAATAACGGGTGACTAATGAACCAAAGGATGGATAGGCATTTGGTATCACTGACTGTCAGAAGAGACATTAGAGGTAATCCAGGCTGCTTCCGGCACTGGGAGTAGGACAGTTCTTCGTTTTGCAGGACAGCCCCATGCTCTCTGCAGGGCATTTAGCATCCCTGGGCTCTGATCACTAAAAATGTTGTTCAGTCTCTCAGTCTTATCCAACTCTTTGTGACCCCATGGACTGGGGTCCATTCTTCCCTGTCCTTCACTCTCTCCCAGAGTTTCTCAAACTCATGTTCATTGAGTGAGTGATGCCACCCAACAATCTCATCCTCTGTCATCCCTTTCTCCTTCTGCCTTCAATCCTTCCCAGCATCAGTGTTTTTTCCAAGGAGTCGGCTCTTCACATCAGGTGGCCAAAGTATTGGAGTTTCAGCTTCAAAATCAGTCCTTCTAATGAATATTCAGGGTTGATTTCCTTTTGGATTGGGTGGTGTGATCTCCTGCAGTCCAGAGGACTCTCAACAGTCTTCTCCAACACCACAGTTTGAAAACATCAATTCTTTGGCACTTAGCCTTTTTATTGTCCAGCTCTCATATCCGTACATCACGACTGGAAAAACCACAGCTTTTACTATATTAACCTTTGTAGGCAAAGTAATGCCTCTGCTTTTTAATATGCTGTCTAGGTTTGTGATTGCTTTTCTTCCAAGAAGCAAGAGTCTTTCAATTTCATGGCTTCAGTCACTGTCCGCAGTGATTTTGGATCCCAAGAAAATAAAATCTGTCATTGTTTCCATGGTTTCCCCATCTACGTGCCATGAAGTGATGGGACCAGATGCCATGATCTTAGTTTTCTGAATGTTGAGTTTTAAGCCAGCTTTTTCACTCTCCTCTTTCACCTTCATCAAGAGGCTTTTTAATTCCTCTTCACTTTCTCTCATAAGGGTGATATCATTATGGCAGAAATGTTGAGCAGCTAGTTGCAATTTTGGTATTCTTGCAGGAGATGAGCACAAGTCCTTCTGCTCTGCCATCTTGACGATCATGGAAAAGTGGAGACCACTAAAAATAAGTGCTCCTAAAAAAAAAATGTTCCTATACAAGTGGCACTAGTGGTAAAGAACCCACCTGTGGATGCAGGAGACATAAGAGAAGCAAGTTTGATCTCTGGGTGGCAGAGTTGACACATGGCAACCCACTCCAGTGTTCTTCCTGGAGAATCCCACGAACAGAGGAGCCTGGCAGGCTACAATCCATAGGGTCACAAAGAGTTGAACACAATTGAAGTGACTTAGCACACAGCACACATTTACAAGCGCCCCTTGGAGGCAGTATCTCCCCAGTTGAGAATCACAGAATCCTTTATTTAAACACAGGATTCAGAAGTTTCAACAAGTGAAGTGATGAGGTCCAGGTCACTCAAATGGCTGATACCAGAGACAATCCTGTCCTGATTTTTTAAACCATATTTTAATGAAGGTCAGTGACAGAAATTGCTACAGGTGGGAGATCACACCACTGTATCTGTAACTAAAGAGAGAAAAAAAGATATATTTGGGAGTTGCTATTAGTAAACAGGCTATTATTTTTTAGCGATTTTTGTCTCCAACTTTTCCCCTGTGGCTTTATCACATAAAACATACTGACAAAATAATTTTCCAAAAGATTTCTGGTAGCTTAACTCCTTAGCAAAGTGGCTGTTAAGAGTAATAATAGAGAGCAGCATTGTAACATATGTTCACGACTGGGACTGCTAAAGCAGGAAAAAGAAGTGAAAAACTAGTAGATTTACCTTTCTTTGCATACATTTCTATATTCAAAAGGAAATTATAAAATATCAAAACCAAAAAATCAACAAATACTATTTCATAATCATCTTACACTCTGAAAAATCTCAAAGAACGAGAAGAACTTTAGAAAGAGAAGTTCGTTACCTCTTAGATTTATATAGTATCATTCCCCTCTAAAGATGCAAGCTGGTTTTGCTCTTCTATGTCAGTAATCGTTAAGTGATACCTGCCAGTGAGGTCTATGACCCCAAATTATCTGACTCTATTGATGAGGTACTGAGGAACACCAGGCTTAGTGGCTGAGACAAATTCTCTGAAGTCATTATATAATACCAGGATTATTATTTGAGCTTGGTAGTCTTAAATATTTCCTTAGGATAGATTCCTGGCTGGAAACTACAGAGTTCAAAGTTTGAGTTTCCCTTGTGGCTCATGGGGAATACATGTAAATCCATGGCTAATTCATCTCAATGTATGACAAAAACCACTGCAATGATGTAAAGTAA